CAACCAAAATCATAATATACTTACAGTGTAAGGTAAGTATATTATGATTTTGGTTGTGAAGAACACCTTGACATTTGTGATATCATTTCAGTTATCAGGACACACCTATATTGTAAGTGTATTATGATTTTGGTTGTGAAGAACACTTACATTGTAAGTATATTATGATTTTGGTTGTGAAGAACACTTACACTGTAAGTGTATTATGATTTTGGTTGTGAAGAACACCTACATTGTAAGTATATTATGATTTTGGTTGTGAAGAACACTTACACTGTAAGTGTATTATGATTTTGGTTGTGAAGAACACCTACACTGTATAATTTTAATACAAGCAGTAGTTTTCAGTTCATATTCTTCCACATATTCTGTTTGAACCTGTTTATATGTATAGGCTGTAAATACAACTACCAGTGTTCCATCATAGTAGGCACAAAAAGTATTTCTCCACAACTATAGTCCAGCTTTCTCTATCCCATGTAACATTTCTCTAAATCTAGAACAGAACACTTGTGGGATGGCTAATGCTCAAATTAATAGCTTTACAATGAGGTCAGTGCAATGTTTTATACAAATAATGGGGAAAAAAGTATTGCCTTTTTGTTGTTTAGAAGTAAGTTTTAATATTATTTGTTTTTGTCTTATTGTGATGTTCCATCACATTCGTACTATGAAAAAACATTTTGTTCACTAGTTTAGATTTTACACGTATACAACTTATTGTGTCTCGGGTAAAAATAATCTTTCACACGATAAAATTTGCATTGTGTGACTCATCTGGCCTGGTATCGTTACAAAGGCCTTCTCAGCATTGTTTTTCCATAGTATATTTGGAAAGCTGATAATGTCATTGGAGACTCATACAAGGCCAGTGAAAGAAATAAAATACTTAGAATTATTATAAGTTTTAATTAACTGTTTTATTGTGTTGTCGAATTAATAGGTTGTGGAGTTTACTATTTGATAAAAAATAAAGATTATTGGTGGATGAAACTATTTTGTTTAAGCTTTGTGAAGAACATTTATAGTTAAGATTTAATTTACTGGTTGAAATTATGTGAAAAATTTTGTGCTCTAAGGATGATATTACATCTAAAATATTTTGATGTAATAACGATGGAAAACGGTTTTGAGTATTTTTTTAATATTCATCACACTGAAAGTAAAAATAATATTATTCAATAATATGTCAACCACAATATATCCTCTATATTCAATGCTGAAGTCTTTCACCCAATCCTAGAGCTCTTCAGGTTGGCTGGGATACAGCAGAAGTAGTAGTGGTTGATACAGCCGAAATGTGTGATTTTTATATTAGCCAGCACTCTCATAAACACTACAGAAAAATTTTATCTATTCAGACCCGTAGTGATGGAACTTTCTGAGTACAAAATAAACCTGGTCAGTTTGGAATCTGATACATTCTTTTGAATATTTGGTGTTTTTATTTAATATGTTTTGAGATCATGACTAAATACTGGAAATGATACAATCATTAATACCAATGCTTTGGCTGTTGCAGGAAAGATTTTTGCATTCATGTCGGGGATTCAGAATATCTGCTTCCTTACGGGATCGTTGATCTTCAACAATCTGTATCCTGCCACTGCTTCTTTCTTCAAGGGATTCTCGTTTCTCTTAGCAGCTTTATTACAACTATTTGCTGTAGCAGTATTTGTGTAAGTCCAACTGTGTAAAATATATTCATCTTAAAAAGATAAGTGGTGTTGAGTTTAAAATATCTTGAAGAAACCAAGACTTTCTATAGAATGGAAAATATTACTTTTTTTTTAAGTATATTACTGGTTTTTCTAGATTTTGAACTTTTACCATAGTGAACTGAAACTCACTTGTAATGAATTCTACAATAAGCATCATCATGACTGAGGATACTCGCAAGTGTGCAAAGTGTTAAATTCTGGAGACCGGTTGATGTGCATAAGAAAAGAGATCAGTGAGTGTTAATGTAAATGTGTAGTTAAATCCCAGTGAAGTTCAAATGGTGAATTTATTTTATACATATGTCTTAACAAACTTATTTATTAATGTTGTTCATTTTCTATGTAGGTTTGTGCACAGGGATATGAAAATACAACATACAAACCAAGCAAGTGAACTTTTAACAGGTACTAAAAAAAATCTTGTTTTGTCATTGTGACAGTATTGAGAAAAGATCTAAACATTTAAAGTTGTTTTATCAGCTCTTTCTGTACTGGATGTTTTTTTTGGGGGTGGGGGGAAGAGTCACATCATCAGTTTAAAGAACTTCGTAACAATGTTGAGTATTTAAAATTGTTCTATTTGATAGTTTTGCATTTAATATTTGTCTTTTGTTAAATGTATTTTGGTCTCAGCACTGCCAATAACAAAAACTAACTCTTCAAAATATTTATATGCAAAGAAGTTACTCTTATTGATACGTGAAACCATTAGTACTTGGTGACACTCCATGATTACAGAATTGAAGAATAAAAAGACAGTTGTACGTTTCACAAGTACATCATTTATTCACAACCATCATAATGCCGTTACATGATGTATTTGTGAAACGTACAACTGTCTTGTTTTTTTTTTTTAAATTCTGTAAGTTACTATCAGTTAACTTTTCTTCTCACTGTACTTTTGTACACTGATTTTGTATTTCTTTTTCTTGGAATCTTTTAACATTTTTGTGGGATTTTGTATATTTGAATCTTGCAGTTTGTACATTTTTTCTTGGACCTTTTTGTATCCCTGAGGTTAACGATATTTTATGGGATTTTATGTATTCAGAGAAGAACACAACGTGATTTACCATGCTATTCTAACATCATCAACCTAAAATTTTGTATAACGGTAATTTTTGTTATTGTTTCCAGAACCTGAAGATGAAAATGCTTAACTTCCAAATCCTAGTTAGGACAACTCTTTCAGTCTGACGTACTAGTGTTCTACATGGGACGAACTTCAGAGTACTATTGAACAATAAATTAGAATGTACAGTGAGATAATATAAAATATTGACACTTGCTGCTGGGTGTTTAATTTTATATATCTAACTATTCTGTTTAAACATTTTGTAAAGTGTCCTTTAATCTTAAAATGTTAAAATGCAACGTTATTAAATATTGATAGTTTTATAATAATTCAAAACAATAAATCTTGGTCCTGTAAACGAAAAATATTTAAATCTTTACACATGTTTTTAAATATTTGTTCATCAGATTTGTTTTGGGCCTATGATTTGTTTTTTACATGCTCCATAATAACATACAAATCATATAAAAGTACCATAAATATTACAGTTAGTCCCACTAATTACTTTTAGGGTTTCTCATTTAGTACAGCAGGCAATATATCATAGAATTACTCAATATAACGCAATATATGGATATCCTTCGGTGGGGTAGCGGTTAGTTTATAGATTTGCAACGCTAAAATCCAGGGTTCGATTTCCCTTGGTAAACACAGTGCAGATAGACCAATATGTAGCTTTGCACTAAGAAGTTGGGCCCGACATAGCCAGATGGTTATGGTGCTCGACTCACAATCTGTGGGTCGCGAGTTCGAATTCCTGTCACACCAAACATGCTCGCCCTTTCAACCGTGAGGGCGTTATAATGTGACTGTCAATCCCACTATTCGTTGGTAAAAGAGTAGCCCAAGAGTTGGCGGTGGGTGGTGATGACTAGCTGCCTTCCCTCTAGGGGATTCCCTCTGCTAAATTAGGGATGTCTAGCGCAGATAGCCCTCGTGTAGCTTTGCACGAAATCTGTAACAATTAAACTAAGAAGACAACAACAAATATCTGGATCCCGTCAGTAATTTTAATATTAGCGCGAGGTGCACTTGTTTCTGAGGTTCCAGAAACGATAGTTGTTCCAAGCAGTTTACTAACTTGTCTTAAAATGCATTTGTTCCAATTTAATGTTCTTGTATATGTGGATAGTAGGCCTACCTAGGTACGTAGATTGTCAAATGACCCAGGTTTTGGTGCTGCATATCGAATATTGTTTTTCGGACAGTGGATATTTAAGTATAAGATGTGTAACTTTTTGCACGTTTAAATATTTTGTAATGTTGTTAGATTGTGATATGTTCTACTGGTCGCTGGAAATACCCTATTTATTGTTTGTTTTTAGATATCCTTGCGAAGCTACTTGAGGACTATCTGCTCTAGTGGTCCTTAATTTTGAATTGGTAGAGAGGCAGCTAGTCAACAGCGCTCACCGCTAATTTTTCGTATTGTCTTATCGAATAGTGGGTTATGACCGTCAAATTTTAACGCACCTACGGCCCGAAAGTTTGGAGCACAATTTTATTTTCCTTTTGGTTAACAGGACCCGCAGATCTATAATCTGGAATGTTCGGCCCAAATAACTTATTAGATTTTTAAAGTTTATAAACAAAATATATAGATATTTGAATGTAAATTAGGATCTTAATCTTGCTGATGTGCATACACGATACTGTTACATCTCCGTTTGTTAATTAACTTCCCGTAACTTCGTTCCGACGAAACTTTAGCGACACAAGTATTTACTTAATAAAACTGGTTTATTCTTTCCGAAGATAACTCTGCGATACACTTAATCTCAATATTCGCGCTAAAACAAACAGTATCACGAACGAACGTTAACTTCAACAATACTCTGTGACTGCAGTTCAATTACTCACTGTCTACACACACATTACCTTACCTTCTTTTATATACCAGCCTACCCTATCTAGCAATTACTAGACCATTCGCCAAGATACGGGATAGTTCTAGAAACAAGAGAGCGTGAGAATTGTCACGTAATCTCGATGACGCAACAATACCTTTTTTTTTCGAGGAGGGGGAGGGGGTAACTTCGGCCTTAATTATTTCAGATATAAGGTGGATTTGCCAAATACGAGATCACTGAGGTTAGTTTTATGGTTATTTTACTTTTTATAGTGTACCATACCTGAAGTCTCCTACGGGAAAAGCGAAGATTGACCACACTGCCTTTCCTAATGCTGAATTATTCACCTTCTGCTGCTTATAGAACACTTTTTGTTTTAATTTTCTGCTTTCCATTTCAGTTATCAAAAATTTTATTAATAAACATATTAACTTATATATTTGGTAGTATAATAGTAAAGAAATAAATTTCCATAAAAAGTAGCCCTCCCCCAATGGCACAGCGGTATATCTGCGGGCTTACAACGCTAGAATCCGGGTTTCGATACCCGTGGTGAGAAGAGAACAGATAGCCCATTGTGTAGCTTTGTGCTTAGGCCCGCCATGACCAGGTGGTTAAGGCGCTCGACTCGCAATCTGAGGGTCGCGGGTTCGAATCCCCGTCACACCAATTATGCTCGACCTTTCAGCCGTGGGGGCATTG